CAAGGGATGATATTGCGACAGAACACACGCATGCTGAAGTTAGTTACCCAGCCAGGGAGGTAGTGTTTTGATTGCTTAAAGGCATAAGGCTGGGTATACTCAACGTACGATAAGTGCTCAAAAATAGTAGCAGGGATGCCACAAGTGCGAAAATAACGAAAAAGCGAAATGAAATTACCATAACCCTGCGAAAAAACCTTTGTTCTACGTGGCACTGGACGAGCATTTTTGGACGAGTTTCCCGTCGGCATCGTGTCAAAAACCACTGATCGATACGGCTACATTCATGTATCCACGTAGCAATGTTCACATCAATTGTACATCATAAATGGAGCTATACGAGTACTCGCCTCGATGTGACTGCGCGGACATTGTGGGTGGGGCGTGGTGATGGGCGTCTGCGTCAGCATCGTGCATGTTGCTTAGGCGCTAACGACAGTGCCCTCGGTTGGAGGGCGCCACACCCCGCCTGTAGGGCCACAATATTCTTTCCCGCTAGGCCTACAAACCCTGTAGGCTTGTCGATTTATCGTGCCACTTGGCTCCAACGGAGAGAGGTGGCATTTGCCTCCGTTGTTGGGTTGCTGACTTTTCTTTTGCAACGAGGTCAAACAGATGACTCCGAACCAGCTGAGGGCACGAGAGCGACAACAGCGATGGCATACTGCGTGCGAAAAAGGACTGAGGACCATGACAGGAAAAGCGCTGGACCTCCGTCATAGACAAGCGGCCACAGGAGCCCCTAAACAAGAGGTGGGAGGAGGTCACTGAGAAGGACCTCAGTGAAGTGAAAGGCCACGGCAGAAGATGCAGTCGGATCGGAGGGAGTGGCGACGTCTAACAAGAACAGCGGACCCTGCGACGGCGCGGGAACTAACGCTAGGGAGAAAAGGAGGTTGCTGGCCCTTGACGCTGTTCCTCCGTTCCACATGCGCTCTGGAACCCCACCCTCCCCCCCCCCCACGCTCGACGGCACTTTCTAGGGAGAAAGTGGTGTTTCTGGGAGGAATCCGGAAAAGTGGTGAGAAGGTGGGAGAATTTAGGAAGGTGGTAGATGGATAGGATGAGGTTTGTGGAGAGAGGGGATAGGGTCGTGGAGAGGAGGACGTTTTGAGCGCGTAGTATTGGGACGAGGAAGCGGGACCGTATCTGCCTTTGCAGAAAGCGTTTCTGGGCGGTGGGTTGCTGACTTTTCTCGCTTTTTCTCGTTTCACGTGAGCTACATGGCTCCCGCCCGCTCGAAGGTAGTTTTCGGGGGAAATGTGAGCAATAATTCGAATAAAATAAGAAAAAACGGTAGAAAGCTCGAAGATCCAATGAAGATGGTAGACAGGATGAGAACGGGGTGGGAGGGGGAAATTTCGAGGGGGCAGCGTACTTTATTTTTCCCCAACGGCAGAACATGCCCTGCGCTCAAGGGATAACAGAAGGAAAACAACGAGGACTACAAGCCGTGCAAGGTAGCGAGCAATCTGGCCATAGATCTCCATAACTTTTTCTTTCACCGCTTCAGTTTTATTTGCAGCGGAAAGGAAAACGTCATGACAAACACATCAATCATGAAATGCCTTTGAAAGGTCTTCAATCACCTTCTCTTAGCTTTACAGCCCGACTCAAGGAAGGTTCTATGCATAACATGGAGCCGCTCTCCTTCAATAAGAACCCATTCAAATCCAACTGTTAGCTTTTTTGCGAGGACTCACTCCCAACTTTATCAGAGATCTACTTTGGATGAGCTTTATTGTTACAGTTGTCAACAAAGGTAAGGGAAAGGTGAATACTGATGAGTAAGAGAAATCGATTAGATAGCAGGTGAAGCAAGCAAACACAACAAAATGTACCGCATTTGGAGAGTCCCTCTCCAATGAGACTAAACCACGTCAAATCTGCTCGTCTGCATCCTCTTACCAAAACAGCGTTACATGTTGTAGTCAACGTCACAACATGTCCCTCCCATTGCACCCCTTCTGTCCTAGACACAATGCCGTGGCCTTGCCCCTTCAAAATATAAATCGGCTTTGTCTCGCTGGAGATTTGTCCCACCCGAGGCTTCTAACGGTTCTGGAGAGAATCTGCAGATAACTTGTGAACAGGTAACAATGAATACGAGGCTGATTTCCCCAGGTCTTGTAGAGGCCATTTGAGCGCAGGAACTGATTTTTGTAGCTTTTAGATAGCCTCTAATTATTTTTAACCCTCCGAGTAGTCTTAGTTATCAAATTCTATGATGGCCGCTTGTCTGCATGGCGACAATGAGCGAAAAAAATAAAGCTTCCGGCCCTGACCAAGCTCTCTTTGCTACGCCATGCACTTTACTTCCATTCAGAGTCGAATTTTGAATGCGAATAAGCCCATAGAAATAGCTTGAAAGCCAGCGGGTGTAAAAACCAGTGTATCTACCCTCGCAAACAAGTCTATAACCAGCTGGCTGACTCCGGTGGTATGACCTTGTTTGCCCCACAGAGCCCATCCGGGACTGATTCCGGCAACGTGGCGCTACCTGCCACCTCACCCTTCCGCCCTCGCTGGTGATTATGCCGAACTGTTCAGTTTGCATATTTTACTGAACGGAATTTGAGATGATATTGACAAGTTTCCGTGTAAATATCGGTGAGACAAACTCGTGTTCCACACGACAGCGCTATCCAGACATCCTGACAAGCATGGGAATTTCGCTCGCCATGGTTATAAATGGGCTTTTTTTCGCTCGAAACGCTAACTAAATTATAGAGAAGCTCTACTTTGATGATTACGTAAGAATTGTTCAATTTCCGTGGGGAAGCCCATGAATGATGAAACTATTCTTTTATGTTCGCCTACTGGTAAATAAAGGTGCAGTTCTTCAATCGAGATACTACTAGACACCAGTGGGTGGGCACACACGCATACAATAAACCAGTTTTCATTACTTTCAGGCGTTACGGTGAGTAAGCAGAAAGTTGCCATCGCTGACCTGGTATTGACATCGGCCGTAACCAGTTGTTTTCGATTGTTCGACTTTAAAAACTGTGCCACGGTTTGTTCGGCCACTTTTTGCACACCTTCCGATGCCAGAACGATTGCTTTCAAACAATCCGTTATGGTGATGATTCCGAGACCACCTGGAAAATGAAGGGCAGAATTTGCTTAGCAGGATCTGTTCAAATACTGGTAAACTCATTACCTTTGACGTCTAAATTGGAGACGATTGCTACCTGATGACCACACTGACTAAGAGCGGTTAGCGCTTTGTGAATCTATAAAAATATTATAATTTATTCACCAAAAATAGCGTTCTATAAATAATATAAACATAACTAAATAGCTTTTCTGGTATTCAGTGATGGCTTGCAGACACATTATCGTAACCCCATATAAGCAGCTCATTTGCTTGGAAGTATCCGATCAAAACAATTTCAAAAATAATTTTTCTTGGGGAATTCAGGAAGTTATGCGTGAATGACGAATGGTACTAGACGTCTGAAGGAATCACATAGATACTCGAGATCCCTGAGATCGGGTAGGCGGGGCTGCATTCTTCAACTTAACCTGAAGGTGTCTATGCTTCTGGTGGAATATTTCCATCTTGACACAACTGTTGTCGTGTCTCTGTCCAACACAGAACAAGATGACAGTTGTCCCAGACTGGAATATTCCACGAGTAACCAGTTCCGTGCCATGTTCAAATGCCACGCCTACTCTGGCTCAGGGATAAGGAGTGTACCTATGCAGCGAAAACATGCTACTTTGCCTTTAAAGGCGCGTCTAGCGATTACAACTGGTGTTCAGCCAGGAAGTTGCAAGCGCTGAAAGACTCATCAGCAAAGAAAAAAGCAAAAGAAATTATCGAAGGCTCCTCAAATGACGTCACTGTAGCAGCTGATTTTGAAGATTGGGCGAGAACATAAAAAAACAACAGGCGAAAAGACACCAACCAGTAGCGAGAGATTCAAGAGAAAGGTTGAGAGAACAGAGAAATAAATGAGACGGCAAACAACAAACAAGCTAGCAAATGTGGATTAGCATGGGCCTGCTGGGCCTAAGTCATATATGTGCAGGGAGACTACTGCGTATTTCCAAACTGCGAAAAAAAATATGTAACATCTGTATATGAGCACCGACGTCATAAGCAAACAACTTCATCGATTTGGCTAATATCGAAATGTGTCTTTAAATCGCAAGACGTGAGTGTGCAGTGCAAAGTACGAAAAACAATGTTGCTACAAAATTACTTATTCGGGAACAAAACTTACTTTTAACTCCCCATCAATAACCACCACGGCACCGTGGGTGGGCTGTAGATCATAGCATGTAAGCGATTGCATGTAATGACGATATGGATCGGTATAGCGATCTAGAATAAAGTTCGAAGAATCTCCAGAAACATCTGACAATTAATGAACTGCAGTAAAATACCTTGAAAAGACTCATCTAATTCAATTCAATTTGAGACTCCTTTAATTCACTCATAAAAAGTAATTAAAACGGTAGGAAATTTCCTGCAGCTGCAGGAGCTGCAACATGCACGCGAGGCGTTAAAAGTGCAGCGTCAAAAAAAACCCAAGTTTCACACAACATCATTGTGCACGACAATCGCTGTCAATTTCTTGAAGCATGCTAGCAACATGAATGCAATTAGCGATCAATAACTATCAAATGTACAGAATAGAGCTCGAATATCATCAGACTAACCAAATGCGGCTACGATTTCGAACTTGATGTCGACTTCCATAGATGGCCGCAATATAGCGTACTCCTTAAAAATCAATTTTTTTTCACGGGACAAACAAGTATAGAGGGTGTCTACTAGTAAGTAATGCTTACAGCGCAATGAAAAACCTTTTCAGGTACGCTCATTCGTCGATGATATAGCGGTCTAGGCGATAGTTCATCATCTAGATCATCTGGGGCATCATAGAAGCTCGAATCAGAACTACTTGTTTTTCTAGAGGCATCGGAGGCTGCCGGTATTGGTACTGTTGCTCGATTTGGCTGGAAATAGACTTCTAGAATACGAGTAAACTTGACAGTTCTGTTGCGTAAAAATACTACTAATTACTTTGCCAATCATTGTGAAACGACGACTTTTCACATATTCTTTGAATCCAATCGAGTTTCTTCTTGACGATTCCCCACTTGCATGCGGTGAATCGTAGCCACTTTCGCTGTTACAGTATACATTCAGTGGTTTTGTCGTTTCCAACATTCCCTTTCACCCCTCGTTATGGCCTGTAACGGAGAAAAAAGAGCTATGAAAATTGAATTTCAATAATTTGGCGCCGGTTTTGGGACACAAAAAAGAGCGATGAAAATAGAATTTCAATGAACTGATGTCCACAAAAAGCAGCACATTCCAGAGATAGGGAGGGCGTGGCTGCGCTTACTTGAACATCGCGCAGGATGAACTGTTCGTGGGACCTCTTCAGTTAAAACAAGCTGGAACAAGTTTCACCCTATAGGGAAAGGAATCTACTAGAGGCTACTAAAAATCAGGACCAAGCGCCAATTAGCTCCAGTTGCTTTCTTTTTCTGCTCCTTGGCGCCGGAAAAGTCAATGGGACCTCAAATTCTCCCGTCAATTAAGCCTAAAGGCTAAAGCCTCTCATGGAGAGAGGCTTTTCCTGTCCTATGCAGGACAATGACTGCAACTGCAATATTCCTCCAGAAGCGCTGAATGGAGTACGCAGCCAAGGACTCTCCATTTCTGTGACATGGAACGTAATTAATTGCACGAAACTGCACGAAAAACGATCGACAAACGTGAGACGAATCTTTCGAACTCATTACGAGGAGGATGGGTGCAGAAAGAGCGGCGAACCACAAGGTAATTTGTGAAGGATGTTGTTACTCGTTGTGCCAGAGAGCTATACGATGACGCGATTGGCCGTTGAGACCAGAAGGAAGTGAAAGAGATTCAGTAATGAACACAAAGTACAACGAAAGTTGCCGTTGAAATTGACAACAGACCATGGCGACTTCACTCTCTTAACGGGCTGCTCATGCAACCGTACGCCGTTGAAAACTATCGGGGCTAGTGAACGTTATCGCGATAAATCGCGTCACTAGCGAAACGTAGCGGGCCCGATCAGAGTGCGATTTTCAGCGAAACGAAAGTACTTCTCCGACATAGGGTCTAATACTAGTTAGAAGTCAATATAACGTCATTGAGATGGATAGTAAGGGTGGAATAGGAATGAAGGCTTAGCTGAGCACAGAATTGCCATCGCAACTGCTCGCCATCGTAGCATGGTTGCCACGCTAGTTCGCTGTGCCGTGTTTTGGCAGCGTATTTGGCGCTGACGGCGATCTAGGCCAACATGGGCGGAGCCGACGAGGCGCGTGAGAAAGCGTATCGCAGCGACACGTGAGAAATATGCAGAAAGCAAACAAGATCATAAATAAGTTGCCACACAATGCCATCTCATCGCGCATTGCAATGCGATGGTGTTCCCTCTTGAAATCACAGTTCACAATCAGGTAGAGTGTAAGGCATAAGGCACATAATGTGGTACTCGGTCTAAAATGGTAGCAGGGCTATATAAAGAGAAGATGGCGAAAAAGCGAAGCGAAACGGTTAAAAACCTGCAGAAGCCACTGTTCCAGACACGGCCCATCAATAGTTGTTAGTTGCGGATTATGTTCGGGTCCGTAAGACAGCTTCCGCCTTTTTTGAGAGGTTGGTACGACTCCCCCTGGTTCCCTCCTTATCGAACTGTCGAGCGGGGGGAAGGGGGGGGAGGGGGGGGTAGGGGGTTTATAGTACATCAGGAAAAATCACGAAAAGTCAGCAATCCCAGAAGGTCAGAAGGGAAATACAACCGTCCCCCCCAAAAACGAACAAATACGACCCCTCCCCCTTTACAACGTCCGTGAAACAAGAAAAATCAACTATCAAAATAAATTTTTCTCAGCCCAAATACGACCCCCCTCTCCCAGCGACCAAATACGACCCTCTCCTGTTGGGGAATCCCCAACAACGATGTGCCCTGGTTCCACAGGACTAAGCAAGCAGTTTCGGACGAGTTTTCCGTTGATATCGTGCCAACAGACACGGCCATATGGGTGTGCTATCCAGGCAGCACCGCAGCCGCTTCATATCAATCCCTTCGCTTCATATTGTACTTCGCAAATGAAGCGATACGAGCATCAGCATCGGTCGGACATTTGTGGGCACGGGCGCGGTGGGCGTCCTGGTCGGTATGTTGCAGCTTGATAGGTGCTATAAGGGTACCTTTCTTAGAAAATGCGCCACGCAGCGCCTGCTCAGGAGCTCCGAATTCTTTCCTGCTAACCAGGGATGGTCAATAGGTCAGTCCGACCATTTGCAATGAGGTATACCGCTGTGCGCGTCTTGAGACAATGAACTCAAATCTACCTTCTAAATTTGCGAAACGGTTCTCTGAACGGAGTAACTTCGTTCGAAGTTGAGATAAAATCTCAGATTTTGCTAGATTGTCACTCCAGGAGGTTATTTGACCCCCTGAACACGGATGTCACACCTGTTCTGCTCAAAGTCCATTATTTCGCGCGCAAGAGCTTTACCTTGGGCGCCAGCGCGCCTTCAAGGGAAACTGTGAGACAAACCTCAACTACTCCGTTCAGAGAGCCGTTTCACAAATTCTGGAGGTTGTTGTGAGCTCATCCGCGCATAACGATGTGCAGCTCATTGCAAATGGCTGGACCGACCTGCTAACCTTCCCTGGTTAGCGTCTTAATCCTACAAGTCTAAAGGATTTATTGTGCCATTTGCCTTTGAGTTGATACAGCCAACGAAATCAATGCAACATTCAGGAATGGATTTTTCGTGCATATGAAATATGAAACTTTAGTTTATACGTACACAGGCAATAGCGTGGACTTCATTTTCAACAGTGGCATGTGTTTCAACGGGGGCTGAAAAAAACAAAAAAAAAACTTTTTTTGGGGCCCCCGGGCAATGTTAAGAATAGATTGGAGCAGGCAATGGCAGTAGTGGACCGACGACGGTCTATTGTTTACTCCTCCTACAGGCTATTAAAACTCAGAACACAAGCGCCAATTAGCTCGGGAAACTGCGCTTTCTTTTTCTGCTCCCTTAAGGCCCACAGGGAAAGTCAATGGGACCACGAATTCTCCCGTAAATGAAGCCTGAAAGTGGAAGCCTCCTATAAGAGGGCTCTGGCTTTTTTTTTGGTTTTCAGTCAAGAAGTATATTTTTCTTGGGAACAAAACAAGCAGGTAACATGGTTGAGAAGCAGCTCACACGTTATGATGTGTGGACGTGCTTTCGTCAAGGTGAGCAAAGCCTATTGACAAGTACGAATAGTGGTCACAAGAAACAGCTTGAGAACAGAAAAGTAGGAGATAAATCGACAGCGAGATGAAAACCGATTCAATCGTGACCAAGGGCAGATGAAATGGAAGATAAGGTGATGTGCGGAGACTGGGATAAGATGAGGAAAAACAGGCTTAGGTCCATTACTCATGAGTTAAGCACTTTCTTGTCAGATCCTGCATAGCATGCAGAAATGCAGGCCTGTTTTTCCGCGAAAACAACTTACAAGTCTCACCAACTTACCGCTTTCAGAGCAGTGAGTTTTGCAGCACATATACTAGTGGCACAATCTTAAATAAAACAACAATGAACAAAAAGTCAAAAAAGGCGTAAATGCCTAGTATAGAGCCTCATGGTGAACCGCGATTGCACGCGAGGAAGTGGTTGGACGAACTCTCACTCGTTGGTGCCAGCTCTTTCTCCTTGTCACCTCCCA